CAACCACCACCACCACCACCACCACCACCCCCACCCCCACTACCTGGCAGTAACTAGTCCTCTTAACTGCTGAGGCATCTCTCCTGCACCTGAACTATTTTTGAATGTGTTTAATAGACTGATGTGTTTCTTTTTGTTTGGTTTGTTTTTGTTTTTACATCCTGACCAAAGTTTCCCCTCCCTCCTCTCCTCCCAGGCCCTCCCATCTACCCTTCCTCTTCTGTTGTTCTTTGGAAAAAGGCGGGCCTCCCACGGGTATCAGCCAGCCATGGTATATCAAGTTGCAGTGAGACTAGGCACCTCCTCTTCTACTTAGGCTGAACCCAAGGCAATCCAGGAGGAAGGAAAGGGTCCCAAAAGCAGGCAGCAGAGTCAGAGACAACCCCTACTCCCACTGTGAAGAGTCAGTCCCACAGGAAGACAGAGTTACACAACTGTCACATATCTGCAGAGGGCCTAGGTCAGGCCCATGCAGGCTCCCTGGTTGGTTTAGATTCTGAGCCCCAGTGAGTCCAGGTTCATTAGTTCTGTGTGTTTTCTTAAGGTGCCCTTAACCCCACTATCTCCTACAATCCTTCCTCTCCCTCTTCTGCAGGATTCCTTGAACTCCACCTAATGTTTGACTGTGGGTCTCTGCATTTGTTTAACTGACTCACTTTGATTCTGAAAGGATTTATTGGTAACAAATCCTGAGACTCCTGGCTTTTTATCAGTTTTGTTTTTCTGCTTATATGCAGAGACTGATTTATTTACCACATGAATGACTGGAGATGGGATGCTTGCTGCCTCTTCCATTCATTTATTAACGAGTGTTTTGAAGGCCTAACAAGTGAACCTTTCTCTCCCCTTCCAAACCAAGCCGGCAGGGAGACGTGGTGCAAAGGAACTGCACCCATACACTGAGCCTTCGCCCAGCTTCCCTGCTTAGAGTTTCACTTGTTGCTAAGTCAGTTATTTTTAATCCTTGTAACGAAATCTACCTGTTAATTGGATTTCGGTATGTTCCAGACCAAAGGCAAGGCATTGGTAGCATTAGGACAGTCGGATCCATTTGCAGATGGATCTCAGCTCTCAGCTGAGGAGCTCTAGAATTAGGTTTGTTTTCCCTCCTTGGCTTGTAAATAGATTTTATGATAGACCTTCACATTATCCCTTTCTCGTCCAGCCGTTATCATTCTGAATAAATGAACATGTCTAACTCAAAGTGGCAGAACAATCTCCTCTCCTAGGCAATTCCTCTGCTCTGTGTTGGAAAATGCTAGTTTACTCGGTCATTGTTAGCACATTTGAAATTATGTTGTCTATAAATAAAAATAAATGGCGTTTTTACAAGGAGACTGATATCCTGGAGGGAAATTTTAAGTGTTGAGTTGCCTATGATTTTCAAGTAGTTGTCAGAAATCTGACTTAGATCTGTTTATCAGTGTTTTATTACAGAATTTGGGGAGGAGAGAAGAGCTGGCCTTCGGCTTCAAACAAAGACAGAAACAAATCAGGTTTATTAGGAAACAAGAGGAACTGCGCGCTGTGTAGGATTGCAGAGTACTTCCTTTCCCGGAGGATGGCTCAGCAAACCCGTTAAATGATTGCGTCTTTGGGAAGCAAGTTACTGGGTTGCATTCTTGTTGTTGTTTTTCTGAGCTGCTTCCTCACTGTGGCAAGGCTGAGGGGACTTGAAAGACAGCTAGTTGGTACGGAGACAAGCTGCTCTTTCTCCAGGTTTTTTGTTTTTGTTTTTAATCGAGGCAGGATGACAAGATGTCTTCAGATGTGCCTGTGACAGTATTCTGGTGGATTCCCACCACTGTGACAAAGTACTTGGTTCATAATCTCAGAGGTTTCAGTTAGGTGGCTGCTTTGCTGATGGGCTTTTTTGTTGTTGTTTTTTGTTTGTTTGTCTTTTGAGACAGGTTTCGAGCCTTTCCTGGATCTCGCTCTGTAGCCCAGGCTGGCCTGGAACTCACAGAGATCCGCCTGCTTCTGCCTCCCGAGTGCTGGGATTATGGCGTGCGCCGCCACCACCGCCGGCGCTTATGGGCTTTTTAAAATAATAATTCTTCATTTTTTTTTTTTTTTTCCTGAGATAGGGTTTCTCTGTGTAGCTTTGGAGCCTGTCCTGGATCTCACTTTGTAGACCAGGCTGGACTCAAACTCACAGAGATTCATCTGGCTCTGCCTCCTGAGTGCTGGGACTAAAGGCGTGCGCCACCACCGCCTGGCTATAATTTTTTCTTTTAGAAAATACTTATTTGTATTTTCTGTGTGTGTTTGCCTGTTTCTATGTATGTGTACCACATGTATGTAATGCCTTTGGAGGCCAGAAGAGGGCATAGGATCCCCTTGAGCTGGAGATACTGCTGGTTTATGAGCTACCATGTAGATGCTGGGAATGGAGCCCTGGGTTCTCTGCAAAAACAAGTGCTCCTAAACACTGAGCCATCTCTGGTCCCGTCTAGGCTTTTGACAAGGCAGAAGATCGTGGTGTAGAGCATGTGATAGAACAAAGCTCCTCCCTTCAGGGTAGACAAAATGTATCCCACATGTATGGGTACATGTGCCTCAGTGAATGATTGAAGGTTAGAACACAGCATGTGGGAGTGAGTTCTCTCCTACCAGGTGGGTCTCAGGGATGGAACTCAGGTCATCAGGATTAGCAACAAAGCACTTGTACCTACTGCAGCATCTCCTGGCTGCTGGAAATTCTTTTAGGATTTAAAGTGTAACAAAACAAGCAGTTTGAAGTCCCAAATGAATGGTTAGATAATTATTAGACATCAGTCTTCACTGCGTATGTAGCCAGAGCCTGAACTTCATGCCACCTACCTTACTCAGCATCTTGTCTGGAGCTGTAATGGCTTCCTGAGTGAGCTCCTTACCTTTGCCTGCCCCTCTACAGTGTCTTCTCCAAAGGACAAGACTAAACTGGCCTGTGACATTACACTGCTCAGGCTTCTATGCTATAACCTGAGTTTCTGTCACCTAGGAAGTCCTGTAGGATTTGACTTGTACCTCTTTGTCTGAACTCTTGTAGCTAGGTGCATGGCCTTCAAGCTGGGAACACACTCACTGTAAGGCTTGGTGCTTGAGGTTTACCTTTTCTGACTGTTCTTGCTAGAGGCATCTTCGTCTCGGGGCTCTGTTAACAACAACAACATCTGACAAGCAGATGTTGCTTATCAGAGAGACTTTCCTTAGTCAGGTATTTTGGGTCATACAGTATTAGGGTTTGTTGAAGCAGGAGGTTTGAGTTGGAGGTTAGCCCTGGCCATGTAGGAAGGTCAAAGCCAACATGAGCTACATAGACTCTGTCTGAAAAAACAAAGAATTGTAGCTAAGGGGTAGAGTACTTGCCTCGCACACACGAGGCCTTGAGTTTGATCCCCCAAGAATAGGCTTTCCTTGACTGCTTTGTTAGAAAGAACATCCCTCACTTTCTGGGACTTTTTTTTCCCTTTGTGGTATTGGGAAGTGAACCTTAGGCTCTCATGTGTGTTAGGCAGGTACTCTCCTGCTGATCTATACCCCTCTTTCTAATCATCCCCCTTCTTGGTGTGGGGAGTCATGACTGGAGATTGGTCCTAAGGCCTCTTGTACTCTTAATCACACCTTAGTCTCCTTTCTTGTTTTACTTTTTCTTTATGCAGCTTGGAAATAAAATGTTTATGTGTGTATGCATGTGTGTGTATTTGATTGTATACATACATACATACATATGTATGTATGTAAAAAATTAGTGTATCTGTGTCTTCCTGTAGAGCACAAATTTCATGAGGTCAGGGGCTGCGGTACGTCTTTTCACTGCTGAAGTGGTTTCTTCTTAGCTCTTTAGTTGCACCCTCAGTGCCTGGTGTATAGTGGGTATGTTGTAGATATTTATGTAACCATAGGCCTGGCCCTTGTGAATGTAAGTGTGACTGTTAAATTCAGAAGAAGGGAAGGAAAAAACAACCCAAGGTATTGCTTTTTTTTTTTTTAAAGCTGCTAGAAACGATTACTTTATATAATTAAGACCTATGCTTTATCAAAAAATATTTTCCATAAGATGAAGACGATGACTTTGTGTGTAAAAAGGCGGCCTCCAAATCCAAAGAGAATGGAGTGTCTGCAAACAGTCACCGCGGAGCATCAACCGCGAAAAAGAATGAAGAGACCACTAAGACCAAGAATAAACCTTTATCACCAATAAAGCTTACACCAACGTCAGTGCTCGATTATTTTGGAACCGAAAGTGTCCAGAGATCTGGAAAGAAGATGGTGGCAAGCAGAAGAAAAGAGGTGAGCGCTCTGCACGCACGCACGCACGCACGCACGCCAGAGTGAGGATTGCTGGGCACGCTGGCGTGCACCTGTGTCGGCAGCATTCGGGAGACTGGGGCAAGAAGATCATTAGCTTGAGGTCAGCCTGGGCTGCATAATGAGGCTGTTGGAAACAGTAGCAGAAAGAGTGTTCAGGATTGATACCCACTCAAGGATACTAGTAAGGATGATGGGATATTATGAATGAGCAAGCATGCTTTATCAATAATGAAATAATTTTCTATGATTATAGATAAATATTGCCCTCATTTTGGAAGCTATGTAGATACGTATTTATTTTTACTTGAAAGCAGGAAACCATTTAACTATAAGAAAAAATCATAGTTCTTGGAATTTAAGTGGAATTTTCAAAATGCAAACTTATTTTACTATTGCCTTTAGCAAACATAAGTGCACAGTTTTACTTGAAATGAGATAAACATCATATTAACAGAGTGTAGCTGTGCTGATCTTCTCTAGTTTGACTGATACTGGATTCATCTTTTTCTGGCCGCTTAGGAAATGGGTGTATAGATGAAGTACAGGGAAGGTAGTGCCTCATAGGCTGTGCTATAGTGTGTGCTGATTGGTTGGTGCCTGCCCAGGCCTGAGCCGTCATTCTTAATATTGATTGGCCAGTGTTTTAGACTACTTTGCAAGCCAGAGCATTAACCTATAGTGTGTGTGCGCACACTTCTCTTGAACATACCAGAAGAACAAAATGAGAGCCATCTGTCTGTAGGATATTCATTCTTTATGAAACTGATGTCATCAGAACAACCATAATCTTGACTTTGTTGCTGCTGTGGATTGTGACTATTACTGATAGACCTCTCTTTCACTGATGTGTTTAATTAGGTGTTGCTCCCCTCCCCCAAAAAAGCACTTTACTTTTAGCTTAATTTACGTTTTGTCTTGCTTGATTTTCTTTGGAATACAGTCTTCTCAAAACATGGATGACTCCAGGTTAAATGATGAGGCCATTGCCAAGCAGTTGCAGCTTGATGAAGACGCGGAGGTATTGCCATTCCACTTAATTATCATTAATAACTTGAGGTTGTGACTTGGTGTACCTATTTACAAATAGTCAAGATGTTCCAGTTTTTTTTCCCTTTGAATAGGGCATTACTTACTGACTGACTGTCTGTCTGTCTGTCTGTCTGTCTATCTATCTAGTCAAGACAGGGCTAGAATTCACTGTATAGGCTAGTCTAGCCTTGAACTCACAATTCTACCTCAGTTTTTCTGAATTATAGTTGTGGACAACCATGCTTAGCTCAAAATTGTTATAGTCTAATTTTGAATTGAGCCTCATTACAAGTGTGGTGTAAAATAAATTAAAGTCTAGTATATGTGAATATAAATTCCTGTAAAAGATAAATGACTAGACTAATGGATAATTATTTATGTAAAAATTTGAAGTTCTGTGACTAGGAGGCTCCTCAGTGTATGAAAGAATTTCATCTGTTCCTGTGTCTTTTTGCTTTCACTCTGAGCACACCTACCCTTCCCCCTTGTTTTGGTTACTGTATATACTGATGACTTCAGTTTGATTCAGGATGCTCTCTTGAGCTGTAAACCCATATCTGACGAGGGTTCATTCATCACTTACGGAGTTCCTCGAACTGCTGTAGTAGTAGATGACTACAGTTTACATAGAAAATAAAGGAAGAAAAGAAAATGCCAGGTAGTTACAGGTGTAGTGAAGAAGAAGAGTGAAGGGGTAGTTCTGGGGTAGCTGGGAATGAATTGTGTCCGAACATGAAGCACAGTGAGTCAGTGGTGGCTACTCAGATCCCCTGAGGAGGAAGTGTGCTCAGGAGACCAGTGTGGCTGGGCAAATGAGTGAGAAAGAAGAAAGTTAGGTGATTTGGAGGAATGGCCATCAGCAAGTCCTGTAGGTCACACTGGGTCTTTGATACCCATGAAAAGAACTTGGATTGGTCAGGACTTCAGATTCAGTTTCTGTGAGACGGGACACCATTGGCGTTCTTAATAAAGTGACCCGACTTGGTGGGTCTTAAAAGCACACTGGCTTCTCTAATGCAAACGGTAATTGAGGTCCTTCCCTGTAGTTGGCACGAGCAGAAGCAGACCAGCTTGGAGACTTGTAAGGTATGGCGGGTGGGAGATGTTGGTCGTATCAGGGAGGAAGTGGAAGAGGAGGTGAGAGGCGACTCAAGGCCTTAGAGCTGCTGACAGGTTTGCAGTAAGGGGGCCTGAGCAGCTGGATGAGGGGGGATGCTGTTAATGAGGACCAGAACACAGGGTGGAGAGCCACTTGGTACAGAGAAGTTAAGAGTTCCGTTAGAGGGCTGGCGAGATGATTCAGGGTGGTTGACAGGGAAGCCTGGCCACCTGAGTTTGATCTCTGGGACCCATGTTCAGGTAGAAGAAAAGTTGGTGTCGGCCCTCCACATGAACACCCATGCACACTCCCTCACACACGCACACAGTAATTTTTTAAGAAGAGTTCTGTTTTGACAGTTAAGTTGCAGATGTCTGATAGACCTCCAGGTGAGATGCACAGGAGGTAGCTGGTGAGAAGAGGTTCACAAGTCTGGTGCTCAGCAGAAGCTGTGTCTTTGGAAGTCATTAGCATTTGTGTGGCATTTAATACGTGTATACCTTGGAGAGAATGTCAACAAAAGGAGAGGCTTCCAGGATTGAACACCGGGTCCTTAACATTTAGAGATGAAGAGGAGGACCTAGCAGAGATGAGGAGAGTTGTGAATGGAGGGGGAAGACCAGGGAGCCGGGTGTTTGCAGACACCGACTGTGAGCGCAGTTCACGGGAGGGCTCGTCTTCCAAAGCTTCAGGTTTGGGGGTTTATTGAACTCCTTCCCTGTTTCTTAGAGTAGGTGTCCTTTTCCCAGACCCTCAGCAACTGTACTGTTTATTAAAATTGTGATCTAAATGCCGTCTGTGTGTCGCTTTCAAGGTCTGCCTCCCAGAACTGATTCTGTCTAAATGCTTGTTGTAGTGCAGGGGCTAGACCTTGCTCTGGTTCTTCATTCCATTAACATGATGGTTCACACCTTTAATCCCAGCAGAGGCAGGCAGATCTCTAAGAATTTGAGGCCAGCCTGGTCTACATAGCAAGTTCCAGGCTAGCCAACACTATATAGTGAGACCCTGTCTCAGAACAACACGAAAGAAAAATATCTTCCTGTCTTTGGTTGTATCGAGTTGTATTATTTCTAAACAGGTATCCTGATGACTCAGGGTAGTACACACGACCTAGGTCAGCCTGTGAAGTCATTCTCAGGCATCTAACTTACCTTATCTGTCCCAAATAGTAGAGGATTATCCAGTTCTTTCCAAAGGTATCACAGTCCCATTCCCCCTTTTCTGTCACATTCTTTAGAGTCTTTAGTTCGTTAATCTAATGAAAGACTTTTAGGATGTTAATAATCGATAGTCTTTCCTAATTATCTTCCAAGAGTCCCATCCCAGTTACACCTCTCTTTTTTCATGGTAACTGTATGTCCATTATCTGACACTCAAGTCCGTATATCAGATGCCACATGAAGTCAGTTACATTAAACGGTCTGTTAAAACACAGCGTTCTTTAATACAGGCTATAATTACCAGTGGTAAACTTCTCTTTCTTTCTTTTGGTTTTTGGTTTTTCGAGACAGGGTTTTTCTCTGTAGCCCTGGCTATCCTGGAACTTGAAGATCCTTCTGCCTCTGTCTCCGAGTGCTGGGATTAAAGGTGTGTGCCACCACTGCCCTGAATTTTCTAACAGAAGTGTACCAGTTCTTTCTAAAGCAAGTTCAAAGCCTGGTGTACAAAGCAGGTTCCAGACCATCTAGCACTGCATGAGACACTACCTTCCACAAAAGATGATGGGGAGGAGGATAAGCTAGGCATGGTGGCACACGCTTTTAATCTCAGCACTTTGGAGGCTGAGGCAGGCAGATCTCTTTGAGTTTGAGGCCAGCCTGGGCTACATAGTGAGTTCTAGGCCAGCCAGAGATGTATAGTAAGACCCCATCTCAAGAAAAAGGGTGGGTGCGTCGGTTAGGCTGGAGAGATCTGCAGTTAAGATCTAATACTGCCTTTGTAGAGGACCAGAGTTTGGTTCCTAGCACCTAGGTTGAGTGCCTTATAGCTGTCTATAACTCCAGTTCCAGGGGATCTGATGCCCTTATCTGGTGTCTGCACTCAAGTGTACATACCCACATAGATATACATATACACATGAGCTTTTCCTTAGGACAGACAAGGCCCCAAAACATGTAATGACGAGATGTTATATTAAAATCATTAAGAGAAAATAAGACTTCAGATTTTATAAAGAAATATCACTTTAGAACGAGGCAACCCCATTGGCCAGTAAGATGGCTCAGCAGGAAAAAGGTACCTCTACTGAGTCTGAGGGCCTGGATTCAATCCTTGGGACCCACAAGGAGAAAAACAACCCTTACAGATTGTCTCTTGACCTCATGTGTGCCATGGCATGCATACCCACATATACAATAAATAAATGTAATGAAGAAATAAATTTACACCAACTTTATTATGCTCACAGAGCTGGAAGTGTAGAGTCTGTGAAGTTAGTTTAGTGAAACAGGCCTGTGATGCTTGACTGTTAATGTTTAGTGTGAAGATGGCATTGTTATTTTAGGAAGCTTTTCTCCTTCTAAACATATGAAGCACACATTTAAAAGCGTTTAGATACAAAAATAACAAAAGCATCTCACTGTGTTGGTGCTTTTTACAGCTGGAGAGGCAGTTGCATGAAGATGAAGAGTTTGCTCGAACGTTAGCCATGTTGGATGAAGAACCCAAGACCAAAAAGGTAACATGGTATCTGTCTCTGTGTGTGTGTGTGTGTGTGTGTGTGTGTGTGTGTGTGTGTGTGTGTGTGTGTGTGTGTGTAAGAGAGAGAGAGGGGGGGGGGCGGTGAGAGTGAGCTCACGTGTGATGTAGGCCTGAGGTAGATGTCCGGTCTTGTGGTTCTCTACCTTAGTTGAACTTGGAGTTCACCATTTCTAGGTTGGCTGACCAGTGAGTGAGCCTTTAGAGTCCTCCTGTCTCTGTCCTCCTGAGCATTGTAGTTACAGGGGTGCACTGCCATCCCTGACTTTCCCCTGGGTGCTGGGGACCAGAACTTAGGTCCCCATGCAGGTGCAGTAAGTGGGGGTGACTTGATCCAGTGAGTCATCCCACTAGCTAAATTATTTTAATTTGTAGTTTTTGTGTGTATGGAAATTCATTTGCAAAGTTACTCTTTGTAAAAGATTTCAAGAAATAAAGCAAATCAGAACTTGCCCCACGAAACCATAGGGGTTTTTTATGTATTATTTTGTGTAATTTATGTGTTATTTCAGAGTGATGGTATCAGTTGTACAGGATGAGGGTTTAATAACTACAGTACTCTTTTCGGAAGCAGACTCTCTCTGTTGCACCTCTTTTTCTCGTGAGAGAGTCCTTTTTGAGGCCGTCTTTGACAGGTAGCTCTGGGTGGCCCAGATTGGCTTTAAACTCGACAAGCTCCTGGCCCAGCCTTCAGCCTACCCGTGCTGAGATCCGGCATTAGCTGCCGCTCTTGGCTTCACTTTCATTTTCCTACTGGGCTTTAATTGGTTTTTCAGTTTTTTGTGTTGGTCTGTTTCCATTTTAGTTTTCAGCTGCATTATACGACTAGTAGTTTGGGAGTTGAGATAAACAAAAGGCTAATAAGGCTTCCATTTCCGGCTTAGGAGACTGGGATGGAATGAGATGTTTTATTGGCGTATTGTTCTAACCTTTTATCTCTTTCCTTATTGGTAAAATGAAGTAATACAATACTGCTTTTGCTGTGGTACTTTTTGTGGGTAAATGAATGGCAGTTTATTGTAGTATCTTGCTGGTTTGGTTTGGAAGGTGACCCTTAAACTTAAAAATTTAATCCATTTTAAGAGCAGATTTTGTGGTAGTAGTTTCCCTGTTACTTAATACTTCTGACACTTTTTACACCTGTTTAGGCCCGAAAGGACCCTGAAGAGGGAGAATCATTTTCACCCGTCCAAGCTGATATAAGCAAAGCAGAAAACCATAAAAGCCCTGATAAAGGTAACGCTAGCAGAGGAGGGTGAGAGAGCACTTCCTTTTCTTTTTAGAAGAGGACACTTGGTAACTGCTTCAGCATTCTTTTCCCTAACGGTTTGGTGGATGTTTCAGAGAGCCATTAGAGCAGGCTCTGTTTAGATAAAGGTGCTCCGGACTGTCAGCAGTTGAAGCAGGTCATAGTGCGAAGTACAGGGTTGTACCCAGCCTTCTGAGTGTCAGCAGCTAGAACACCATGGAGAGTCTCAATGCTGATGCCTAGTATCTCAGGAGGGTACTGAATCCATGAGTGTGGGACCCATAGAGATGGTGGGCTGATAGATGATCACAGTCCTATAAAATCAGACCTCAAAATTAGCCACGATTTCCTCCTGAATGCATGTTTCTTCTGCACCATTGTAAAGTTGAAAACTTTTAAGTCGAACAGTCCTAAGTCAAGGATTACCTGCACTTTTGAAGGCTGGATACTATCTGGTAGAGAATGCCCTTCTGCACTTAGTGTTAGGAAAAGTAAACTATTAGGTACTCTTGGCTTGTTAATTTTGCTGTGGGAAGACAGAGAGGCAATGCCCTGAGCTTTCACATTAGAGGTAGTGTCACGGTGTTGGCCTCTGACTGACTGTTCAGGCCATCTGAAGCTCTTCTGATTGTCTTGGGTGGCCCGTTCTGCGATGGTCTTGATGTTGAACCGTCTACTGATACACTCACCCCTTGCTTTCTCTTACCCTTTCCTTTTTCTTCTGCAACACCAGGGATAAAGCTAGGGCTTTGTACATGCTGCTTAAGTTTCCGAGCTATATTCTCAGCCCTCCTTTTGCTTCTTATTTTGAGATAGGGTCCTTCTGAGTAACCCAGGCTGGCCTTGGATCAGTCTGTACCTCAACCTTAGAGCTGCGATCTTCCTGCCTCTGCCTTTTAAGTAGCTGGAATACAGGCCTGTGGCCCAGACGCCCTCCTCATTATCTGTGAAGGATCGGTGTCATGACCCCTGCGGGTCCCCATGTTTGTGGGGACTCAAACTCTTCATCCAAAAAGTGTAGAGTTTACATATAATCTACAGACAGCTTGGCTTCCTGTATACTTTAAACCTTCACTGGCTTACCTTCATACAGTGTAATGCTATGGAAATATGGAAATAGTTATTATACTGTATTGTTGCAGTGATCAGGATAAAACATACAAAGTATTTTCTATTCATAGCTGGTTGACGCAATGACTATGGTGCCTGTAGGTGTGGGGGGCTAATAGAAAATCTAATTCTAGAAATAAATCTGCTTAGGTAGTAGTACCTTTTAGCCTTGGCAATTCAGGATTTGGGGCTTTCTTGCTATTTTACAGAATTCTGTGTAATGTATTCCAGTCAGTGAGTTTTGCCTCTGTAAATTTTATAGCATATCTGTGGAATGGTCTTTGTCTTTTCACACTATTTGGGATTGGACTCAGGCTTTGTGCATTGGTGGGCAGGCATTACACTACTGAGCTGCAGCAATGTCTTCCTGTGTTGTTTATATTAGTATATCAGATGGATAGTTTGAATTTAAAACGACAGCTCTCTCTCTCTCTCTCTCTCTCTCTCTCTCTCTCTCTCTCTCTCTCTCTCTCTCTCTCTC